TATGGACAGGTCGACGGGACCTACGCCAGCTCATGACAGAGTCGACCGGGGACCTACGCCAGCTCATGACAGAGCCGACCGGGGACCTACGCCAGCTCATGACAGAGCCGACCGGGGGCCGTCTCCGCTGCCAGCTCATGACAGAGTCGACCGGGGACCTACGCCAACCTCATGACGAGCCGACCGGGGGCCGTCCGCTGCCAGCTCATGACAGAGTCGACCGGGGACCTACGCCAGCTCCTGACAGAGTCGACCGGGGACCTACGCCAGCTCATGACAGAGTCGACCGGGGACCATCCTCCGCAGCTCATGACAGAGCCGACCGGGGGCCGCCCGCTGCCAGCTCATGACAGAGTCGACCGGGGACCTACGCCAGCTCGGACAGAGGTCGACCGGGGGCCGTCCGCTGCCAGCTCATGACAGAGTCGACGCGGGGACTGTCCTACGCCCAGCTCTTGACAGAGTCGACCGGGGACCGTCCTCCGCCACTCATGACAGAGTCGACCGGGGGACCTACGCCAGCTCATGACAGAGTCGACCGGGGACCATCCTCCGCCAGCTCATAACAGAGTCGACCGGGGACCGTCCGCCGCCAGCTCATGACAGAGTCGACCGGGGACTGTCCTACGCCAGCTCATGACAGAGCCGACCGGGGGCCGTCCGCTGCCAGCTCATGACAGAGTCGACCGGGGGACCTACGCCAGCTCATGACAGAGTCGACCGGGGACCTACGCCAGCTCATGACAGAGTCGACCGGGGGACCTACGCCAGCTCATGACAGAGCCGACCGGGGACCTACGCCAGCTCATGACAGAGCCGACCGGGGGCCGTCCGCTGCCAGCTCATGACAGAGTCGACCGGGGACCTACGCCAGCTCATGACAGAGCCGACCGGGGGCCGTCCGCTGCCAGCTCATGACAGAGTCGACCGGGGACCTACGCCAGCTCATGACAGAGTCGACCGGGGACCTACGCCAGCTCATGACAGAGTCGACCGGGGACCATCCTCCGCCAGCTCATAACAGAGTCGACCGGGGACCGTCCGCCGCCAGCTCATGACAGAGTCGACCGGGGACTGTCCTACGCCCAGCTCATGACAGAGCCGACCGGGGGCCGTCCGCTGCCAGCTCATGACAGAGTCGACCGGGGACCATCCTACGCCAGCTCATGACAGAGCCGACCGGGGGCCGTCCGCTGCCAGCTCATGACAGAGTCGACCGGGGACCATCCTACGCCAGCTCATGACAGAGCCGACCGGGGGCCGCCCGCTGCCAGCTCATGACAGAGTCGACCGGGGACCTACGCCAGCTCGTGACAGAGCCGACCGGGGGCCGTCCGCTGCCAGCTCATGACAGAGTCGACCGGGGACTGTCCTACGCCAGCTCTTGACAGAGTCGACCGGGGGACCGTCCTCCGCCAGCTCATGACAGAGTCGACCGGGGACCTACGCCAGCTCATGACAGAGTCGACCGGGGACCATCCTACGCCAGTTCATAACAGAGTTGACCGGGGACCGTCCGCTGCCAGCTCATGACAGAGTCGACCGAGGACCGTCCGCCATCTCATGACAGAGTCGACCGGGGACCTACGCCAGCTCATGACAGAGTCGACCGGGGACCATCCTACGCCAGTTCATAACAGAGTTGACCGGGGACCGTCCGCTGCCAGCTCATGACAGAGTCGACCGGGGACCATCCTCCGCCAGCTCATAACAGAGTCGACCGGGGACCGTCCGCCGCCAGCTCATGACAGAGTCGACCGAGGACCGTCCGCCATCTCATGACAGAGTCGCGCGGACGGAACGAGTGCTAAACGAGTCAGCCATTTACAATTTCAGTCTGGAGAAAATACAATTGACCAAACTGGCACTGCAGCATTCAGGGATCACCATCTCAAGATCTACGATGCAAAGCATACTTATGTAACGAAACTCGCCTCCCACCAGGACAGTAAGGCGGCTAACACGGCCCGAGCAGCGCGACCGGTGGCGGCCCGGGACAGCACTCACTGAGCGGTACGGGCCGCTGGAAGGCGGGCGCCGGCGCCGCCAGCGGGTGCGGGTGGTGGTGGTGCAGCAGCAGCGAGTCGTCCAGCGACTCGGCCGAGCGCAGTCGGTGCCCGTTCATTAGACGGCCGGCCACCGGCGGCCCGGCCGACACCAGTGACGGGTATTGGGCGGCGTACCCCAGCACCTGGACACAGACACGTGCTGGTTACACGGCTGGCTCGCCGCTGCTTAATGTTTTGATGTCCCCGAATGATGCACGGAACATTTAAATTCGCCAAGGCATGCGAATCTAATGCCCGAACACGGCATTTTTTCGCGCCCTGTGATCCAACCCAATGGTTACTGGGACGCCTATAACATCGCTGCCGCGCGCTCCGTGCCTCCCCAACTTCAGCAGCCCACAACAAAGACTAATCACTTCCAGCCTCTGCCCAGCCTGCCCGGCACTTCCCCAGACCAGCCTGTCCAGTGCTCCCCCAGCCCAGCCTGCCCAGTACTCCCCCAGCCCAGCCTGCCCGGTACTCCCCCAGCCGAGCCTGCTCGGCCTGCCCGGTACTCCCCCAGCCCAGCCTGCCCAGTATTCCCCCAGCCGAGCCTGCTCGGCCCTGCCCGGTGCCCCCGCTGCCTGACCTGCTGCGGCACGGCTGACGGCTCGGCGGCCGGCCGGCCGGCCGCGCCCGCGTACGTCTGCTGGCCGTAGAACGGCGACAGCGGGTAAACTGGCGGCCCGGCGGCCGGAGGCGAGGTCATGTAGTAGCCGGCCTCGTGCGCCGGCGCCGAGCTCAGGGTGGTGCCACCGCCCGGGTACACGCCCATGTAGGCTGCGGCGGGGAGGCCAGGTCATGACGCACGTCCGCTCATCGCAAAACACAGGGCAAAAGGTGGGGTAACTCAGAGACGCAGTCTGATTCATCCGCCGAAGTCCGAGCTGAAGTCGCGGAAGCCGCGGGCCCACGCTCGCCAAGACGGTGGCAAAGCTCGGTGGCGAGAGACAGGTGGCAGGTGAGCGGCAGGCAGCGACGGCGGAGAACGGCGGCGTCCAGTGGCGAGAGACAAGTTTCGCCCGTCAAGTTCAAAATTTTCCAAAAAAGAGCGTCGTCTCGAAACTGGGCGCACTTAACGACGTTAGGACAAGCTGCCCCGGCGTCGCCACCAAAATGCGCCCGAATATCACCGTACACAGGTCAGTTTACACCCTTTTCCCCGTGTTTCAAACGGAAACAAAACCAGACAAAGTAACCTATGCAGAGGGAGTACTCCGCCTAGTAGATGGCAGCATAGTCCTTCCCCTGGCACTCGTAGGCTGAGTGGCCGTCACGTACACGGCTGATGCTGCGGCTGCTCCGGGCCCACCAGCTGATGGTACATGTAGCGCAGAGGCACGGCCGGGCCCGGCAGGCAGTACATCTGCTGCTGCTGCTGTTGCTGCTGTTGCTGCTGGTGGTGTTGCTGCTGGTGCTGTTGCTGCTGGTGCTGCTGGTGCTGCTGAGCGGGCTGGGCCGTGCGGTAGGTCAGCAAGGTACTGCTGCTGCGCCGCCAGCTGGGCGTCGCCCTGGCCGTGCTCGGCCAGCGTCAAGCCCATCAGCTGCTGGCCCACCTCCGCCAGCGGCTTCTCAGCTTGCTGGGTCTGCCAACGGCACCGAGAATGGCGGCTAGCGCGCGGCCGGCTAGCTGACGCACCTCCGGCCGACGACGCTCCGGTGGCGGGCGCCGTGCGGCCGACGGGAGAACGCCGGCCCTTGCTGAGGCACGCGCACACAAGTCGGCGACCAAAGAGTCACACAAGCCTTGCTCTCGCCTCGAAACTTTGCGATCCCTGAAGGCGACGCTTTAAATGACGTTATAAGAAAGGCGTCCACTTTTGCACCGCCTGAACGCCCCCCCCCCCCCCCGCTTTACTGTCCTGGCCCGGCGTCCCGCCGAGCCACAACTCCTCCCGCGGTCGCGTGACCGCCGCCCGCAGCGGTCCGTTACCTGGAGAAGCCCGTGCGCCCGCTGCTGGCCGGCCACCAGCGGCGGCACGGCGTAGTAGCCGGCCGACGGCTGCGGCACGCACTGCAGCGGCGCGCCCCTGCGACGGTGGGCTGCCCGCCGACGCCACGTACTGCAGGCCGGCCGTCGGCACGTACTGCAGACCGACGGACGGCGGCGGTGGCGGAGGCGGCGGGGGCGGCGGGCCGGCGGGCTCGGCGCCGGGCGACACGTACCGCACGCCGGCGGTCGGCCCGCCCGGCGGGCTGGCGCCCACCGGCAGCTGGAAGGGCAGAGCCGCCGGCGGACTGGCGCCGCTGGCGGCGGCGGCCGGCGGCGCCAGTGGCGCCAGCAGCGGCGGGTTGGCCGGGTTGTAGCGGTACACGGTGCGGTCCTGGTTCAGGTACGGCTGGCCCGAGTGAGGGTCGATGATGACGGAGCCCGCCGGTACGTCCTCCAGGTTGCTGACGGCCCAGAGCACCGGCTGGCCGCCGCCGCCGCCACCGCCGCCGCTGCCACCGCCGACTGACACCACCTCCTCCAGACTGTAGCCGGTCTGGGGGCACGACACAGGCACGGGGTCACACCGCGCCCCGCGGGCTGACAAAGCGAAGTTTCGCGGTTACACTGCACCCGGTCTGGTGCCAGGGCGGAGGGGCATGAGGTCAGGCCGTCGCTTGTCATGGGTGTATCGTATTCATGGAGTACAGGAGCCTGTCGGTGATGACTGACCCGGCGGCAAGGGGCAGCATCGACCCGCGGTCCTGACATTCATGGTGAGCGATGCCGCCCATCGGGTCCCCTCAGACGCCAGATACGGTGTCTTGCATGACTCGTACACTGCACGTCCCATAACTCTGACTTCCATACTCCAATAACCTCCACATTCCATTCCCAAGGGCACCCTGTCCCTAACCAGATTTGTCCGCCTCTCTATGGGAGCTAGCAAGGGCTTCACTTTATATGCTTACGGGACGAGGGGGGGGGGGGGGTGGCTGAACCGCGAATGCTGATGTGCGCCCCCATGCTCCCCTGAGCCCCTTCAATACAGATGAGCAAAGGGGGAATACTGGACAAAATTAATGCAGGACAATTATTCCAACTGCTGGTATGCTAGGTAGCAGGTACCTAAACATACCACTGTTAACAGTATGCTTATTTTGCACCAAATAATATCTCATATGTATCTCATGTTGTTGGCATGCTTACTTCCTCATAAGTTAAGCCAGTCGGCATATGTTGTTCGTGTTATTTTCGTCATTTCTTTCAAATGACGACGCCTGGATTGGGATAAAGAACAATTGACCACAGTATGCGGCAGCTTTTAAAAGTATACGGTGACTCAGATAAAGATAACTACATGTTTTCCCAACAGTGCCAGTGTGCTTACCGCACAATCGTGGTCGTGGTGGTGATGCCACACGATCAGCGACAGCCGTAGTCATCAGTGATTCCTTAATATGACTTATTAGGGTGTTTTTTTTTGTGAATTCCACACCATTCAAGTTTTTCGCAAAAAAGCTGCTCACATAAACATGAAATAAGAACTCATTCCTCAGCAGGACAACAATTTTGAATCTACGAAATATTATTATAGGAATAACATCTTAATGCCGCGGACGAAAATTCAATTGGTCGTGATCCGGAGAAAAATCCGGTTCAGGGGCAGATGAGGTCAACTTTTTCGGATCAGCTCCCAGAGCCGACGTTAGAAAGTGGCATCCGCGGGCGCTATGCTGAAGCCGGCTGGACTTGAGCCGGGCGTTGTGTTGCCCTTATCGCCGCTGGTGTCAGCGACCGACCCATCCGCAAACATCTGCCGACAGTGCCCGCTGCACGTGGTGAGGGAGGCCGCCCCGCCCGGACCATTACGCTCCACAGTGTCGGCTACGTCGAAGGACCATGCCGGGCAGCTGGGCGCGTCGCTGGTGCATCTGAGTACCACGGCGGGCAGAACGGATCGCTCGAGAGCCTGGGTCAATAGCGAGCACGGTAAAGCAATGGAAAGCCTGCTACCTACGGTAAAAGATTGCCAGCATTGCGTGTAGAAGCCAGGCCATCCCTAACGTTTTGAAAATTTCAATTCACAAGGCTCAAATATGCGAGGCTTCCGTGCCGTCGCTTGGTGTTGCATAATCTCCAGTGTTATGTAAGTTGGTCGCTGCGAGATTCTGTCTTACGTAAGAAGGTAAGGGGAATTCCATATTCTAACGACCCTGGCTAGGTCTAACGACCCAGCCGCTCGAAAACGGCATGAGCGCAACCGTAACGCGGCGTGCCCGTCCCAACGGCAACGTTCCCAACGTTCCCAACGTTCGTGCCTGTCCCAACGGCAACGTTCCCAAAGCTCACGCGGCGCTGAAGTTTCACCGAACCAAACGTGACGCGCATATCGTGCCCGGATCGCGGCGCCGGGCCGAGCCTCACCTGGTGCTGTGAGGTGGGCGAGGGCGTGGAGTCCAGCGTCACCTGGCTGACCGAGGCCGTCTTGTAGCCGCTGGAGGGGCTCAGTCGCGACACGCTGCTCGCCGACGAGTCTGAAGCGGACGGCCGACGGGGCGTCAGGCGTGGCGCGCGCGGCCGCCCCCCCCGAGACCGCCGCGCCCGTCGCGCGCCAGACGCGCTGCACACCGATGACCAGCGGCGGCCCAGACGGCCTCCGACGCGTCCGGTGACTTCCCCGTGTACGCGGCAAGCCTGCCACGCGATGCTGCTGGCCGATGCCCGTAATCTAATCCGCGCGATCGGGACTTTGACCGATGATAAACGTGAGACACAAGGGTGCCACTGGGCACTGATATCGAGCCGGCGCCGCATCGGGCACCGAGTTCGCTGCAGGCCGTCCGCCAGACCCGTCACCCGGCTGGAGGTGTCACCCGTCCGCCGCGCCCAGCCGCGCCGGCGCTCACCCTGTTTGGCGAGGCGCGCGCTGCCGGCCGAGCTGGCGGCGCTGTCGCCGCGGCTCAGCGCCGCGCCCGTGTAGCCGCCGAAGCTGTGCGACTTGGAGACGCCCGGCGGCCGCGCGCCGCCGCCGCCGCCACCGCCGCCAGCGCCGGCGCCGGCCGCCGCCGCCACGCGCAGATTGTTGGTGCTCTCCACGCTGTCGGTCTGATTGAGCCGGGCGTAGCGCGGCGGCTGGTCGACCGAGTGCGCCTTGGGCATCTGGCGGCGCGCCGGGTCGGCCGGCTCGAGCCAGGCGGCGGCGCGCCGCTCGCCGCCCGACTGCCAGCCGTCGCCGTCCAGCTCCTGGCGGCGGGGCGGACAGGTCAGAGCCAAGCGCCGGGTCACGCGGCCGAGGCCGGAGAGGGGTGACGGGGCTGGGCGGGGTCCACCGGACAGGCTGGGTTAACGGTCGCTCGCGTCTGGTCGGATCAGTTAATTAGACGGGTGGGAAGGCGGATGGGACCAGAAGTCGTAATCGACGCGGTGAGCCACGAAACACGTGGTCAGGTGGCGGCAGAAAAGGACGGGCGAGGTCAAACAGGTCGCACGGGGTCACGTGTGTCGTTCGGGTCACAGACGGCAGGACGGCCAGTGGAATTCACCCGAGTCACGAAGGGTTCCGACGTACTCGGCGAGCGCGCGACGGACCAGAACGTGCGCCTGATTAGATTCCGAGCCGACGTGAGTTAACACGGGTTCAGAAGCCCGGCAACTGACACGGACGGACATCCCAGGCCACTGCGCAATAACAGAGGCTGGCATGACGCACCTCCGGTCCAAATGCAGATCATCTAGAGGCATTTACTCCCACCCGTCCCACGTCAGCGGACGCAGCACTTCATATGCTAAGGCTTCTCATGAGCGACGGCTTCACTAACGCTTCTCTCTCAAAACCAACCACCGTGGAGGGGTGTCGGGCGAATATCGCTGTTTCCAACGCCACTTGCGCCCTAGATCAGCCCACCAGGAGCTGCACAGATCCGACACCGCAGTCCCCCCTCCCCCACCACACGGCTAACCACGGCCGCGCGATACGGAGGCTCGTCTCGCGCCTCACCTGCTGGTTGCTGAAGATCCTCGTGCGCGCCTTCCTGTACTCCACCTCGCGCTCCTCGAAGCTCCGACTGCGCCGAGAGTCCAGCGAGCTCTGGCTGTCGAAACTCTGCCGGCCAGCGCCAGCGCGGTCACGACCAGAGCCGACCAGCAGGGCCCGAACGTCGCCGGCGCCAGCGCGGTCACGACCAGAGCCCACCAGCAGGGCCCAAACGTCGCCGGCGCCGCGCCATTTGGGGCGCCCGACTAGCAGGGCCCAAACGTCGTCGGTGCCGCGCCAGTTAGGGGCGCCCGACTAGCAGGGCCCAAACGTCGCCGGTGCTGCGCCATTTAGGGGCGCCCGACTAGCAGGGCCCAAACGTCGCCGGTGCTGCGCCATTTAGGGGCGCCCGACTAGCAGGGCCCAAACGTCGCCGGTTGTTGCACTATTTAGGGGCGCCCGACTGGCGCCCCCTAAATGCAGGAACTAGCAGAAACGCTTACGACTAGTGGCATTGGCAATGCCGATTTTTTGCCACATCCCTAAAAGTGGACGTCTTACTTTTGTTTCGGTTCTTACCGTCGGGCCTTACTGTGATTGCACAGAGCAAAGCTGCTCCAGCCAATAACAACCAAAAACAAGGCCCAAACACGTCAATGCACACGCTCGCACGCTCGGGAGCTGCCCAGACGTCGAGCACTTACGCACCCAAGCAGTACCTACCCTGGAGTAGTGTCCCAGCAGTCCGTCCCGCTTCAGCAGCCGCTTCGGCTCGTCGCCGTCCTCACGCAGCAGGTCACGGAAGCTGGCGAGGAGCAGTGGGCGCCGTCAGTGGGCCGCCTCGACCTCGGCGCGCGCGCGACGCGGTGCGAATGTCCAGGACGACACCCCTCCCCTGCCACTCCAGGGCGGGAGCTGACTTACACACCACCGGGCGGTGACTAAGCCATACGGGCGGCCTGGTCTTCGCAAGGCGGCCGCACCGACACCGAAAGGTCACCACTCCACCACGTACGCTAACTGGCTACTCCAGGCACTTAAAGGAAGTGCTCCACGTTTGAAGATATGAAGAGAGCACACGTTGTGATGAAGTAACCCCACTTATAACCTTGATATGCTTTCAAATAGAAGACTGCTCCACGGAACATCAATTCTCTATTTAGTACATATGCGCCTCACTATGACATCGTTCGGCTAAGTCATCGTGCCTTGTATCATAGTGATTGACAGCCAATTGACGGCCGTTATTTCAGGAAATCGTGCTCACAAACACCAGATATGAGCGACTCGACCATTACAGTTTTTTGACCTGATTGCTGCATGGCCGATGGAGTCGCAATATTTGAATGACGTGTTATTATGGCGTTATGATGCCTGGGTGACCCTGAAACAACCTGCACAAAAGTCTGCAGATCTTCGCGAGCCTGTCGCTCCGCAACTAGATGGATTTATATATCATTAAGGGCAGGGCTCTGAACTGCACCGAATGATCTTCAAGAGGGCTGCTTCAGTTAAAAAAACGCACACAAATATAGAACATTCCCTTAAATCAAGGCGCGGCTCTGCGCCACCGCCAGCTCCACCGCACCAACCCAGCTGACTGTCCCGCCGCACCCACCCAGTCGACTGTCCCGGCAGCTGCTCCCACAGCTCCCCGTCCCACCGCACTGGCCGGCACATCATCACGCTCCCTGCAGCTCCAAGCTCCGAGCGCAACACTCCCCGGTGCCCCGGCCGCTGCACCCGACGCCGGCCCGCCACCCGCCCGGCGGCGGCCTCTCCGCGCGCGCTCACACCTGTGCTCGGGGACCGCACCAGACGCCGGCTCGCTCCCCGCCCGGCGGCGGCCTCTCCCCGCGCGTGCACACCTGTGCTCGGGGACTGCACTCGACGCCGGCCCGCTCCCCGCTCGGCGGCCGCCTCTCCCCGCGCGTACACACCTGTGCTCGGGGACTGCACTCGACGCCGGCCCGTTCCACGCCCGGCGGCGGCCTCTCTCCGCGCGTGCACACCTGTGCTCGGGGACTGCACCAGACGCCGGCCCGCTCCCCGCCCGGCGGCCGCCTCTCCCCGCGCGTGCACACCTGTGCTCGGGGACTGCACTCGACGCCGGCCCGCTCCCCGCCCGGCGGCGGCCTCTCCGCGCGCGCTCACACCTGTGCTCGGGGATGCGCGTGCGATCCGTCTTGGTGACGATGACGGAGGTGCCTGTGGGGTCGACGTTGTGGTCGAGGCCGAAGTAGACGGCGGCCCGGTGCACCAGCATGCGCTGGTAGGACGACTGCGGCGGGAACCGGAACTCAGCGCGCCTGTAAAACGGCCGGGCAACGGGTCAGGGCAGGCGTACTGGCCGGTCAGGGCAGCCACGGCCAGACGGCGAGTCAGGACCGGCATACTGGTCGTAGCCACAGTCGAGCAGCGGGTCAGGGCCGGCGTACTGGCCGGTCAGGGCAGCCACGGCCAGGCGGCGGGTCAGGGCCGGCATGCCGACCGGTCAGGGCAGCCACGGCCAGGCGGCGGGTCAGGGCCGGCATACCGACCGGTCAGGGCAACCACGGCCGGGTGGCCGTCAGGGCCTGCACGCTGGCCGCACAGCCGGACGGCGGCAGCGCTCTCCCCACATCAGGACATATGCGTGCTCGCCACGGCAAACTGGGAGGAGCGAAGGCGATGCTGGTCTGACCAAGAGCGGCAATCGGATGGCTAACGACATTCCACAGGCTTGCGTCCCTTAAAGACGTGATTCTGTGGGCTGTGAACATTACCATCACTCGAACGCTGACATTATCATTACGCTGACATCACTACGACATAAGTCACATCGAAGCTTGTAAAGGTTAATTAAACGAGGAACGGGAAGCCGCACCACCTGTACGTCGTCCTTGCAGCAGCGGCACTGCACCGCGACGCAAGCATAAATTCCGTCCAATATTACGCACCAGACGTAACACCAGTTTTGTTCGTGCTGAAGTGTGGGCGGTGGCAGGCCTTCCGGGTTACCGGCGCAGCTTCCGCGAGCGCGAGCTCAGCTCCCTAGTGACCAGCGCCGCGCCGCCCCGCCCACGCCCGCTCGCCGCTCATCGTCCGTCTCGCGGCGCTCGTCTGCACGCGGCGTCCACAGCGTGCAGCCAGGCAGGCGTCAGCCGGCTGGCGGGCTCGACTCTGCGCCCAACTGTGTCAGCTCGAAAGTGGGTCTTACTGCGAACTCAGGGGCGCTAGCTCGAAAGTGGGTCTTACTGCGAGCTCAGGGGCGCTAGCTCGAAAGTGGGTCTTACTGCGAGCTCAGGGGCGCTAGCTCGAAAGTGGGTCTTACTGTGAGCTCAGGGGCGTCAGCTCGAGGGTGGGTTTCACTGTGAGCTCAGGGGCGTCAGCTCGAGGGTGGGTGTCGCTGTGAGCTCAGGGGCGTCAGCTTGAAAGTGGGTCTTACTGTGAGTTCAGGGGCGCCACCTCGAGGGTGGGTCTCACCATGAGCCCAGGAGCGTCAGCTTGAGGATGGCCTTACTGTAAGCTCAGGGACGTCCGCTCGGTGAGCGTGAGCCCCAGTGAGCCCGGCCCGGCTCGGCGCCGTCTCTGCTGGCACGGCAGACTGGAGCGTGACACCTGCCGGCTGGCTCGCCGGGCGCCGGGCGCATGACCTGCCAAGCGGCCGGTCGGCTCGCTCCGCCTCGGAGCCCGGCCGGCATCCCCTCCAGCGGCGCCTCGCCGCACCGCTCCAGCCCGCGTGCCGCCACGTGCGGCGCGGCCGAGCCGGGGCGAGCCGCGCACGTGACAGCGCCGCTAGGATTAGCGGCGGTCAGCGCGCGTGACGGTCGTGGCGTGACGCGCCGGATTGGCCGGGCCGAGTCGCGTGACGTGCGAGGCGGGCCATGAGCCGGCCTCATCCCGAGCAGGGGCGGTCGGCGCCGGCGGAGGCTGAGAGGTCCCAACAGCTGGCGACGGTGCCGAGCAGCTCGGCCGCCGCCGCCGCAGCCGCGGCACGACACCGCGGCGGCCGGTCAGACGGCGCGTCGGCGGCGGCTCACCGGGCGCAGTCGGTCTGCATCCATCCCTACGGGACATCGCGGTGCGGCCCCGCAGCGACGCCCACACATGGGCTGGCGCGAGCGCAGATGCTTAGTTCGCCCCACGGCTGCAGACTGCTCTATCGAGTGGCACTGCAAGCCATTGTGACCCCCAGCCGTGTCATTGTGAGCCGGTGAAAACGCACGAATAAAGCTAGTGCACTCTAGCAGTCCCACGGCCCCCACAAGCTGGCGCAAGCACTCGCCGGCGGCACGAGCCGGCGTCCAGCCTGCCGGGATTTTCCAGCGCACAAGGTGTTCACTGATGGTCTGTTTAGGCAGCGATGCCGCACCTAATACCAGGCCGACAGTCTTCCTAATACAGCCTTCCAGTCACCGGCCGAGCAGCCGGGAAGGCCGGCCTCCAGCGTCCCACGCCTTGCCGCAGGGGGGGACCCCAGCGGTCGGAGCCGGCCCTGACCGCCGGCGGCCGGCGGCCACAGCCGCTGTCGACCCGACGCGTTGACGCCGGCGACACCGGTCACCGCCCGGCGCGGCGAGATCAATGTCATTATCGACTGCCGGCCCGGCCGCCGGCGCTCGCCTGCGCGTCGCCGGCGAACGGCATCGAGCGGCAGCCGCATCTCCGGCGGCCGTCGTCGTCGGACCGTCATCGGGCGGCGCGGCGGCCGCCGATCCGCTCCGACAGGCCGGCTGAGCTGGACACAGAGCGGCTGCTCTGTCGGCTCCAGGCCAGGCGCGGCGGCCGGCTGAGCTGGACACAGAGCCGCTGCTCTGTCGGCTCCAGGCCAGGCGCGGCGGCGACCACGCACCGCCACCGCCGCCCAGCAAAGGTCATCCAGCCGCCAAAGGTCACCGCCGGCGGCGAGCCGAGCCGAGCCGAGCTGGGCAGGTGGGCGGCCGAGGCGGGGGAGGCCGAAGGTCGCCGACCACGGCGGAAGAGTTACAGGTGGCCGAAGGTCAGGGGTCGCGGCACGCTGCGGTGCGCGCCGTCTGCACCGGACAGCGCCGGCAGACCCGTAGGCGGTGGTGTCGCCCCTGTACCGGAAGCCCAGCATACAGGTGCACCTGAGACGGCTGCGCACGTACGGTTCAGCGGTTTAACGTATACCCGCAAAGTGCACCGAACTCAAAACGAAATGGCCAGACGAAGGCTTCTTTCAACATGCGCGTCGCAAGACTCGAAACGACACGTAGCATACAACTTGGAAGAACGCAGTGCCCCGACTCAGCGACTTTGTAGCGGAAGGTCACGCACTGGCGCGGTGGGTGGGCCATCGTGAAGACGAAACCAGAGCGTGGGCATGTCACGCATAACATGTACACCACGTGGCTGGTTCATCCAACAAAAACGAAGCCTGGCAATCGACGACTCGAAGTCATCATCGCAACGTCGCCACAAAACGTCGACAAAACACGGAAAATGTCAATCAATTGCCGCCGAGAAACCAGGGCATGCCGTATTTCCCGAAGCGAGCCAACTCACCACCTCAAAATCACGACAAAGCCTGCCCACTCAGCGGTGAGCGACCACCGCGCAGCGAGGCAGTGGCGGTCCGGGAAGACCCGGCCCTCCGGTCCGGCCGGCGACACCTCCACTAAATCATGGACGCGGTTTCGACTGTCGCGCCCGATGTATATTGCAACAGCCCATCAGACACACGATCAACCCTCGGAGGGACCCGCGTCGACCACCGACAACACGATTCCAGAGAGAGAGAGAGGGGCGAGGAAAAGGAATAAGGGGGAAGATGGGCAAGAAGAGCAAGGGGAAGGGAGCGGGAGGGGGGGAGAGCGACGGGAGGGAAGAAAGGAGGGAGAAAGCGAGAGGTGAGGCAAAGACGTGCATAGAACGGGAAGCAGGCCTTGGGAGGCGGGAGGCGGAAGGAAGCGGGGGGGAGGGCGGGGCGCAGGCCGTGTCAGGCGCGGCGCGTGCCGACCGTGAGTCAGACCGACCTCGACCGTGACAGTGATTAGCGGGCGCCGGCTCCACGAACTGTTACCGACAACAATCGACCATCGATCGCGCCGAGCCGGCCCGGCCCGGCACCAGCGGCCCGCGCCGCCGCCCACGCCTCCTGGCGGCGCCGGCTTGGTCGGCGGCCGCCGCTGGCGCCCCCTGCGCCCCTGACGAGCGCCGGCAGACGTCCGAGCGGGGCAGGAGGAGGCGGCGGCCGGCACCGGCGCCGGGCACGCCGTCGGGAGGCGTGACTCAGGCGCCGGCGCCGGCGCCAGCGGCGATACGCGGCGAGCGACGCCGCTTCCGTTCGGATCGCCTGCTGCCGGCCAGCGTAGCCGGCCAGGCCAAACACGCCGGTGACGTCACGGCGCGACAATCGATCTGATTGGCCGGTGCCTGCCGATCAGCTGCCCGCCGAAGTGGCCGCGGCGGCGGCGGGGTCGGGCGGCAGCGCCGGCTGCCGCTGATGTTTGGCGCCCGCTCGGTTGACGTTCGGAGTGCTCGATCAGCCGGAAGGGTCTCAGCACTCGCGGCATGGCCTCCCGGGTAGAGACCATGCTGACCACGAATGGTCACTCGTAACTTGGGCCACCCGTAGAGTTTAAAAAGAGGTTAATATGCGGATAACCCCAAGTACGAGCATCAGACACCGCTGTTATACTTCCTCCTTTCAGTCAGAAGTACTGTGCGATAAGGCTGTGGTATCGGACGAACTTGCTTCAACACGGACCGTCTAAACGCAGACACTGGCCTGGTCGGAAGCCGGATAGGACGATCTCACGTCAGCAGCAACATGACGAAAGGTAATGTAAGTCCTCGTCGCAAACATCCATGGGGACTTTTGTGACGGCACTGCTTTATTCCCCGATAAAATATACGGCGAAGGATTTAGCCCCGCTCGTAAGCCTCTGGCACGGCAACAGACTGTGCAGCCTGCGAGCCAACCACAGTTTCTTGGAACACAGGCTCGTAGCTAGGCAAAACAGCGTGGGCAGCATCATCGATCACAGTTACCAGGCGATCAGAACGCATGTACGATAGTGGTAGCTTCCAACCCACAGCCCCGCCTGGTCGGTGCTGAGGAACAAATGAGGCACCGACTGTACTTCACGTTCAACGTTATTATGGAAGAAATTTGACTTTCTAACGTCACCTTTCTACAACAGTGAATTTCTACAACAGACAATAACCTTTCACAAACCAAACCCCAACACATCACAAGCATCAGAAATGTTGCCGCTCTCGCGCTTTGTCTCCGACCGTGACGCTCTGGACTAAACGCTGCCTGAAAGCGCACCGCCAGGTGGTACCCGCCTCCTATTGTGCTCGTGTTAACGCGAGGGGCTTACGAAATTAGAGGGGAAGAAAGACTTAACTCCTGCCACAAACACAGCAAATGGATCAGGAGAATATGCCGCGATTTTCTACAGATTTAGCCGGGAAGCAATTTGTGCGGTCGATTAATCTTTTTCATTCTGCTCAAGTCCAATACGGGACAGACATCTTCAAAAGTGTGGACTGAGAATCTTCAACCTTGCCGAAAAACATCAACAAACGCCCCCGTCCTGAGTCACGTCAAAGGGCAGTGAGTACACGTCGGGGGGGGGGGGGGGGCAGGGCGGGGGCGGAACGAACACGTCAGGGGGGCAGGGAAGGGGCGGAGCGAACACGTCAGTTTACAAAGGGCGGTGCGAATACGTCAGGGGGGCAGGATAGGGGCAGTGGGAACAAGTTAGTTTATAGATACGCACGTCACGCTGCCGGATCCTTTTCCACCATGCGGAGCACATTCCGCGATCAAAAGCGTTACAACTGTCAATGCCACTTACCACCACTTATGGCAATGTCCTCGACCCGTACCGTCACTCACACGTCGTCCTTGAAGCTGCCTAAGACGCCGGGAGTTGTGCCACCACCGCCATCGACATGTCGCCGTGGCGAGGTTCAGTCAGCCCGCGCAGCACAGCTGCTTACACCCCCGGAGCTGCAGCCGACAACCACATCCCCGACGGATCGGACGAGCCGACCCGCGCTGCCCCGCCACTCACATGTTGTCTTTGATGAAGTTGAGCATGTCCTGTTCGTACTTGAGCAGGTGCGCCTGGTCCTTGATGTTGGCGTTGAGCGCCTCGACCAGGAACTGCTCCACATCCACGCCCTTGCTGTCCGTGTACACCTCGCTGGAGGACTCTGCGGCCGTCGGGACAACCCGTCATCGGACAGCCAAGCACGCCGCCGCGTACCGATTGGTGGAGCCCGACAGCGCTCAACGGCCACGTACAGCTCAGCGGAGCCCGACGGCGCTCAACCGCGGTGTACAGCTCGGCGCTCAACCGCGGTGTACAGCTCAGCGGAGCCTGACAGCGCCCAACCATCGCGTACAGACCAACGGAGCCTGACAGCGCTCAATAGCGGTGTACAGACCAGCGGAGCCCGACAGCGCCCAATCATCGCGTACAGACCAGCGGAGCCTGACAGCGCTCAATAGCGGTGTACGGACCAGCGGAGCCCGACACCGCTCAAGTCCGCCTCACTCGGCGCCTAACTCTGTTGTCCAGTGCGTAAAAGACACCCGACGGCGCCGACAGCATGACGAACTGCAGAGCAGAACCGTTCTGTGTGATAGTCATCGTGATGGGTTATACCCATGCACAAAGCAGTTCGGGGGAGAGAGGGGCGACAATTATTTGAGAGAGAAAATCACAACCGGCAAACGTGGCAGAGCAATGCGTAGCATAGCATGGCATGGCATAGCAGCCAGCAGCACAGGTACCTGACCAGTTTATTTGACTTTCAGATGTGATGGGAAACAAAGCCATGACACGAACGGAAATTCGCCGCCATCGAGTGAAAATCACAGGTAAAAACAAGTGTGCACCGGAAAGTCGTGGTTCCCCAGTGAGCAGCAAACAGTCAGTCAGATACTGGTGTTCAAAGGCGCGCCGTCTACAAACAGCTAGCTGTGACAGCTATGAACCTGTGCTACGTGTACACATGCCTCTGAACTGAGCTTACTCAACTGTAGATCCCACGGGAGGTAGCCAAGCGAGGACATCGTTCCCTCAGGTGACCCGGGCGATGAGACGCCTCCCACTTCTGGCGACGAAGCGCTCGCCCCTCCCGAGACGTGGGGGACCGGAATCGCCGCTCACCTCAGGACCGGTGGGGAGGTGGGCACTGGCGACGCTCTCACCTCCGGAGAGGCGGGACTGCCTCCTCTGGACAGGTAGCACCTCTCACCTCTGGAGGGGTGGGGACTCACCTCTGGACAGGTGGGGGCTGCCGGGGCGGCCCTCGGTGCTGCCCTGGCTGTGGAACTTGCGCAGCTTGTGGCTGACGCTGAGGCTGTAGCGGGGAGGCAGCTCCACGTCTGGCGGTGGCGATGTCTCCTCCCGCATGGCGTGGCTGCGCATCAGCACCTTCAGTCGCGCACTCTGCCGGGAGAGAGGGGCAGGTCAGAGATATGCATGGCGTGGGTGCCCATCAGCACTTTCCGTCATGCACTCTGCCGGGAGGGAGGGGCGGGTCAGAGATACACATGGCGTGGGTGCCCATCAGCGCTTTCCGGCACGAGCTCTGCTGGGAGGGTGCGGCGGGTCAGAGATATGCATAGCGTGGGTGCCCATCAGCACTTTGCCGGGAGGGAGGGGCAGGTCAGAGATACACATGGCGTGGGTGCCCATCAGCACCTTCGGTCACGCACTCTGCCGAGAAGAAAGAATGGGGGGGGGGGGTATTAAGGTCAGGGTTATACTTAAGGTTAGCGAACTTAAAGGCTCTGATCAAATCATTACTATGCTTCATCCCAGTATTCCGGTGTGGACAAATAAATCATCAAGGGTCTGTCGTATGCCTTAAAAATGTCAAATTGTATCCTGCGCATTCGTGCGTCTTAACATGATGTAAAACTTACAAAGTTTAACGCCAAGAGATGTGAAATCAGGAACACAAGTACCATGAACAAACACTCACCGAATCCGATTTTCACTCGCCATTTCAGCATACATTTATATTGGTTATATTGGGCGGCGCGATTGCTGCGTAATCGAACGGAATGGATGTCCCGGGATTTTCAGCTCGCTGCAACACCACGCTTCCGACGGCGACCGACCCGACGTCGACGTCAAGACAGAGGGAAAGAGAGAGGCAAAGAACAACACATATGGAAAGGGGGAGAGAGGGAGAGAGAAAGAGGGGGAAGAGAGAGAGAGGGGGGGATGGGAGAGGGAGAACGAGGGGGAGAGAAATAGATAGAGACAGAGGGGAGATACGAAGCGCTCATATGCCCCCAAATCGAGCGACCCTGCATCATTTATTCAGCTTGATGACGACTCATCCCAGATGCGAACGCGCGCCCACTAAGGCTACTGCAATCGAGGACGCCAGCAAAAAAAAAACCGAGGCACACGAACAGCTCGGGACCCACACGCCAGATCCACTGACGGGAGCGGCCACGTCCCAGAAACTCCGTGAGATCGACCGTGTTTTACACGAAGCGTACATGACTTCAACATCGCGGAAGGTCGCCGGCGTGTGATCAGGATTGTCGTGGGCTCAACATCGCTCGGACGGGGAACTTTGCCGCTAATCCTCCATCTTCGGAGGCTTCGACACCTCTATTTCTGTAGGACAAAGCGCGCGAGCGCCTATTCATTTCGAGACGCGTGCCATCCTGACCGCATCCGGCACGGGCACACGCACCGAACGTTCGCCTGACGCTCGGTCGCCGGGACACGGAGAGGCTATTTCAAACCGTACCACGGCTGACGCTCGCGTAAGCATGACGTCAAACCCTGCCTCACCGACTGCGGGAAACGACAAACCAGCGCCGTTCCTTGAACAGCGCTCAAAGCGTCAGCGAGCCTCGCGTCGACGTGCCACGGAGTGATGAACATACAACCGCGCCGGCACTCGAGCCGCAATCGCCAGCCGAGTTCTGCGCGGCTGACAGCGCGGCGGCCCGACTCCTCACAGCCGAGACGCATCGACAGCTATTACGTCGAACTTGCCGCCGCCCACGCTGAAACATCGACGGCTGTCCGACTAGACTCGACGCGGCGCAGACCGCCGCTCCACCGGGCACCGGGGCGGCGGCACCGACACCTCCGCGCGGCGTCGGCAGCGGCGGGTCGAGTGACGTCGCCGCCGCGCCGCGAAGGTCGCCGCCGGTAACACCGGACATCCGAGCCGCCCCCGGGCCCAGACGAGCGCCGCCGCCGGGCCGGGTCTCGCGGGAGCGCCGTCGGTCTGGCCGGTCCCGGTGCAGGGCTCGGATTCCGTCCGGACGGAACGCAACGGCTCTGCACGGCAGGTGCTGGCCTGCCGAGGCTGGATGCCCGGGCCAAGGACATAGCTGGGGCTTGACGGAGCGTGGCCGCAGCCTGGCTTTTGTGGCCATGGTATGCGAGGCACGACGATGGAAGGCACTCGGACGTTAACTTCGGTCCAGACGGGGCGAAACGACTTTAGCCATGGTGTTAGCACCGGATCTCACTTCGTGTCTGGAAAGCATCTTGCCTTTTTATTCGGGGTTGATCACCTTGTCTGACCAGCGCGTGGCGCCACGAGCCAGCATTAGACGGTTTCATCTTCCATCTGGGCAGCGTGCTGTGGCGCCTCACATATCACCTGTCTGGGCAGCGTGTCGTGACGAATCACATCTCACCTCCTGTCCGGGCAGCATGCTGTGACGCCTCACATATCACCTTCTGTCTGGGCAGCGTGTTGAGATGCCTCACATCTCACCTTGTCTGGGCAGCATGCTGTGACGCCTCACATATCACCTGTCTGGGCAGCATGCTGTGACGCCTCAAATATCACCTGTCTGGGCAGCGCGTTGTGACGCCTCACCTCTCACCTTCTGTCTGGGCAGCATGCTGTGACGCCTCACATCTCACCTTCTGCCTGGGCAGCGCGTTGTGACGCCTCACATCTCACCTGCTGTCTGGGCAGCGTGCTGTGACGCCTCACATCTCACCTTCTGTCTGGGCAGCGTGTGCGGTCCGTGGTCGCTGCGCGTCGTCGGCAGCTCCAGGCTCCGGCTCTGCCGCTGCAGAGGCGCGCGCTCCGACGCCGCCGCCGTGCCGTTCCGGGCCGGGACGCTCTCCGGCTGCGTCGAATCGACGGCCTCCTCCTGACGACACGGCACGGGACGAGGTCAGCGCGGGACGAGGTCAGACGGTACTAGGTCAGCACGGGACGAGGTCGTCCCAGCCCGGCGGCCTACCGGCCCTACCTCGGCCAGGCGAGCTTTGGAGGCGCGGCGCGGCGGCCCTCGACGCCCACGCCCGGCCGTATTTGAGCATGTCGTCCGGCGGCCGACACTGCGGCCGGCAGGTATGAAGCGGACGCTGACGTCACGCACCACGGGGTCAATACGGCGGCGTGCGGCGTGCGGCGTGCGGCCCGTGGCACGTGCGGAGACAGCCGGCCTCTGGCTGGAGCGGCCCTGAGCGGCCTCGGGGGACGGGGAGGCAGGGCCGAACGAGCCAGCGATGGCCCTCTCAGACCACACGCGTGACATTGGGACGAGCGGGCAGCTCTGGCGGCGGGCGAGACCGGACCGACCGCAGCCCGCAGCACGCGTGACATTGGGATGAGCCGGCAGCTTCGGCGACGAGCGCGACCGGGCGCCGGAGCCCGGGCTCCGGGCTCGGAGTCAACAATCAAGGTGTGAGTGGGAGTCGGGAGTGACAACCATCGGGAAGAAAGCCAGGAGCCGGCGGCTGGGAGGTGGAGGACAGGGGCCGACGACTAGGAGGTGGAGAACAGGGGCCGACGACTGGGAGGTGGAGAACAGGGGCCGACGACTCGGAGGCGAAGAGCAGGGGCCGACGACTCGGAGGCGAAGAGCAGGGGCCGACGACTGGGAGGTGGAGAGCAGGGGCCGACGACTGGGAGGTGGAGAGCAGGAGCCGACGACTGGGAGGTGGAGAACAGGGGCCGACGACTGGGAGGTGGAGAACAGGGGCCGACGACTCGGAGGCGAAGAGCAGGGGCCGACGACTGGGAGGTGGAGAGCAGGGGGCCGACGACTCGGAGGCGAAGAGCAGGAGCCGACGACTGGGAGGTGGAGAGCAGGAGCCGACGACTGGGAGGTGGAGGGCAGGGGCCGACGACTGGGAGGTGGAGAGCAGGAGCCGACGACTGGGAGGTGGAGGGCAGGGGCCGACGACTGGGAGGTGGAGAGCAGGGGCCGACGACTGGGAGGTGGAGAGCAGGGGCCGACGACTGGGAGGTGGAGAGCAGGAGCCGACGGACCTGGGAGGTGAGGAGCAGGAGCCGACGACTGGGAGGTGGAGAGCAGGGGGCCGGACGACCTGGGAGGTGGAGACAGGGGGCCGACGACTGGGAGGTGGAGAGCAGGGGGCCGACGACTGGGAGGTGGAGAGCAGGAGCCGACGACTGGGAGGTGGAGAGCAGGAGCCGACGACTGGGAGGTGGAGAGCAGGGGCCGACGACTCGGAGGCGAAGAGCAGGGGCCGACGACTGGGAGGTGGAGAGCAGGGGCCGACGACTGGGAGGTGGAGAGCGGGGGGCCGACGACTGGGAGGTGGAGAGCAGGGGCCGACGACTGGGAGGTGGAGAGCAGGGGCCGACGACTGGAGGTGGAGAGCAGGAGCCGACGACTGGGAGGTGGAGAGCAGGAGCCGACGACTGGGAGGTGGGAGAGCAGGGGGCCGACGGACTGGGAGGTGGAGAACAGGGGGCCCCGACGACTGGGAGGGTGGAGAGCAGGGGCCGACGAATGGAGGTGGAGAGCAGGGACGAGACTGGGAGTGGAGGAGAGCAGGAGCCGACGACTGGGAGGGTGGAGAGCAAGGAGCCGACGACTGGGGGATGAGAGCAGGGGCCGACGACCTGGGAGGTTGGAAGAGAGCGGGGGCCACGAGACTGGGAGGTGGAGAACAGGGGGGCCGACGACGGGGAGGTGGAGAGAAGGGCGCCGACGACTCGGAGGGCGTAAGAGCAGAGCCGACGACTGGGAGGTGAGAGCGGGGGGCCGACCGTACTGGGAGGTGGAGAGCGGGGCCGACGACTGGGAGGTGGAGAGCGGGGGCGACGACTGGGAGGTGGAGAGCAGGAGCCGAGCGACTGGGAGGTGGAGAGCAGGGGTCTGACGACTGGGAGGTTGGAGAGCGGGGGCCGAGACGACTGGGAGGTGGAGAGCGGGGGGCCGACGACTGGGAGGTGGAAGAGGCAGGATGAACCGACGACTGGGAGGTGGAGAGCAGGAGCCGAGACTGGAGGCGAAGAGCAGGGGCCGACGACTGGGAAGTGGAGAGCGAGCGGGGGCCGACGGACGGTAGCGCCGGCAACTCAGGGGTCAATGTCACGAGCGAAGAGCTGGGGCTGGGGCATCGGAACCTACGATTGCGCGGCGGTGGTTCGAACGAAGGGCCGCCCGGCATTGGGAGGTAATATCCAAACACCCCGCCTCCCAGCAATCACCAGACCGCACGATCCCGGACTGGTCGACTGTGACAAGGAGATCTCGGGGCCACCACTCGTATCTCTCCGGCGGTCGGAATGGCAGAACGATTGGACGGCAGGATCACAACATTAAGTGGGTGTCGGGAATCGCCCTCAGTAAGTGTTATCACGCTCTTGGCGAGTCAGCGTTGTCTCGATTGCATTCATCTGGCCTGCCGCTAACCGACTGCACGTGCCGCCTGCTCCCTTGACTTAAGCCCTCGTGCTGGCTCATGCCAACTGTCACGACACAGGCTTCGACCGGAGGTCTTATGCTCAGTGAATCATCCGCCATGTAAGGTGTCAAATGCAACAGGTAATCCTGAATTGTGTCACAGCGAATCAAGTTGAGCAGCTTCGAGCGCAAGCCATTCAACCGTAATGCGCCAAACGGCCTCGTGCTGGAAAATATCGTATTTCAGGTGGCTCGCTCCTGCCGGGAACCGTACTAGTGCTTGATTTTGGATTACCTTTCAGCTGATTAAAAACCAGCGATATCTTTATGCGCAACGTAGCAACCACTTATTTTCAAATTTGGATGAGGTGGAGACGGAACTGAATGAAATCCTCACCCTGGCTGCATTTGTTGTCGCTCCACAGCAAAGACCAGAGGCCCTAATGAAAGGCTCTTATTCTAAGAGATCATGGAGCGCCTGTGCGCTTGCTTCGCTGAGCGGCGGGCCTGAAAGATCACCATATCAGGTGCTGAACTGACGGATCAGAGGGGCGATTTACGTTTAGATATTTTGTGACCGCATGTGACTTTTTCACGCTGTTCGCACCGACTGGATCCTTCGCCCCGACATACCCGGCCGGAACCGCAGGGACGTCGTGATGATCAGCTGAAGGACAGGGACACGCGGATGTCAGGGAGGGGAGGGGCAATATCTGAACGCCAATTTTCCGCGCAGCAAGTCTCCACAGGTCTTCGCAATACTCTCTCCTCATGTATGTTTAAGGTATGACAGATGTCGCACTCCTCGCGAAAATTGTGTTCCTAATACTCTTAGATGGATTCTTAAAATAATTGTAGACTTTTTCGGCTGATATAGCCCTTGCTCGGCGAATTTTAAAGGCGGAACCCGTAAGAATCGGCTGCGCGCACAGGACAGGGGCGTAGGAACGTAACAAAGGGATGCGGGCTGGGGGAGGGTGCTCTGTTCGCAAGTCAGCCTTTCCCGCCTGGTGATATGTGAGCTGAATCACTTACAATTTTGACGGAAATGAGGCAGGGGCCACTGGCCATCCCTGGTCAAGCGCGTGTGCTGGAGGCAGGTTATTTTACACACTGCGGACGGCACGCCACTAACTGTTTTTACAAGCATTGCTGAACACGGTTAGAACCCAAAGAATAAGAGAAAGACTCGACCTTACGCTCATTGGATACAATCAAAAAGGAGGGACGATTACTATTTTTTTTCAAACTCGGTCCTCCCCAGCATCAGCCTCAAAAATGAATAAAACAGTCCTTTATATACACCTGAACGAAAAAAAAACACCAAAAACCAAAACGTTCATTGATGCCCCAGGGCCAGATCAGTTCTCAACAAAAATTGACTGAAACCTGTGACAAAGACTTAAACAAGATGTTGGCCTGCAATCCAGAAACGTCAAGGACGCCGTTGCGGGCGCCACTGCCGCTAACGGCAGCGATTCCAAAGGAGCAACTAGGGAATATGCTGTGCTTGCTGGTATCAGCCGGCTTCGCCCCCCCCCCCCCAAAAAAAAAACTATGCATTTGTATAAGTCTTCTCACCGTAGCATCCGCAAAATATCATTCACCTGATCTGTGCAGCTTGACTTACATTTCTCTTAGCAAAGCGCTGGAGAAGTGCGTTTGTTGCTATCCTTAAAACACTAGCCGATGATCCCGCGGTCGACCGGAGGCGTTCCGACGTCACAAAATGTGAGATTTCGGTTGCCTGGCTCAAGTAGATTTACGAGCGGCACATAGCTAAGCAATGCTAATTAAAATTGTTGGAAATCGGGACATGGGCCAGGACGCACGAAACGTGCCGGTACGCATCGCCTCGCCGCGCGCGCGCCTCGGCACGACGTAACGAAATGAATACAGACGGACGGACAGGCGCACCCCAGCAGACGCGCCCCAACCTATAACTAGTATGCAGACAAGTGATCACACGCTTGCTTGGCTAAGCGACGAGACAAACAGCTGATAAATGCACTAATAAAGCTGCTGCACTACCGGGACGATTCACACTTCTGACACTTCTATATCCTACAATTCTACAGTTTTCCGGCTGACCTGATGATTTGTCGCCAAGATTTACGGACGGAATCGATGGAGGGTTGCACACGTTATGCCCAGGACAGCGAGGCATGAACAGCAAACATGAATGGGAAGGCCAGGCTACATTGGTGAGTCAATTCCTTCCGCTCACGACCACAAGACCAGCCACGTATGGGCATGTGATGAGGGGGAGGGGGGGGGGGGGCGGCGCGATAAAAATACAAAAACTACACGTTATGTAAAAAGCGACACGGTTAACTGAAAGGGATGGTGTTAATTGGAACACGAGCCAAACACTGGGTTTCCTGTACAAGTTCCGCTCTACACAGTCCTGTAGCAAAGTCCGTTAGATACAAAGCCACAGTGAGACAAACGACCCGGAACCAATCATCCAAGGCGCGTAGCTGTAAATAGCACACCCACTGCTTACCAAGTAGAAATTAGCGAGTGTTCAGCACACAAATGCTGCTCTCCAAAACCCCACAACGGTTCGTGTTTGTTACGGATTCTACACGCTTCCGGAAGCCGTCTCGGCCGCCACTGTCAGCGCCAAGTTTTCCTGTATCCAGCTGTCACTTCTAAACGACGCTGCGATGTTTCTGAACTGTCGCGTTCTGCAGCGGTTTCGAAACAGACCCCGAGAAAATACTGTGCGCAGGTATTCTTACGAAAGAGCGGCTTTGTTACGACCAAAACACGAACAAATTTGACCAGCCCTCTACTGTACCCCTTATAAACTATTCCTCCCTAATTCTGTGCAACTTATTTCATACTGTTTCACGCAAGACGCTGTATATATATATATATATATATATATATATATATATATATATATATATATATATATAAATATATATATATATCCTTTCGTGCAGGAGAAAGACAGCGGGCAAGAAGAAGGCGTGCTTCGATTCAAAAGCACGAGGGTGCTGGATGGTACACTAGTGCAGAATACAACTAGCACTACTAGCCACCTTTTTCGCTATCGACATACATAAATATAAATATAAATATATATATATATATATATATATACATATATATATATATATATATATATATATATATATATATATATATATATATATATATACATCGACATCACTTCGCATCTCCGTTTAACGGTTTTCTCGGCAAATCCAGAAGACTTGAAACATTCCAGAGGCACAGTGACTCACCTTTTACCGCCGATAGCGGTACTTTTATGTTCCGACTTCGCCGTCGCAAAACAAAGAAATTGTAGTCTTTCAGTAAATGTTGCGTGCAGGACATACAATTCTGACTTGTTTCCCATTTCACTCACCAAGTGGACGGAAATCGTTTTCGCAGCGAAGTCCCCCTCCCCCCCTCCCCTCAGCCCGCTATGTGACCGGCCGGTGACACTTTGTGGTCCATACGGGTTTGCATGAACGTCTGTACTGACATCGTAGGACGTGCGCCATTCTCATTGGCCAATGCGCCGGTAACAAAACTGCAGCCGACGCTTCAAAGGCGCATTATTCTGCTGTCTTTTGTTTAGGCTACTAACCTTTTATGGGTATGCATAATGTGTATGCGTGTGTGCGCGGACCTTTTATGGGCACGGTGGGGATCCAACTCAGAAAAAGGCCAGTATGAATAAACAACATTTCCATCCAATACTATCTAACCCGGCATGAATGAACACAACAGGGGTGTACCTACGAGCTAACAGGAGAGGATTTCACTGAAACTTAATCAATCATAAGTCGTTTGGGACCTTCAGCCTCGAAGTGGCAAAGCAGCGCCTGCAGAAGTCCCACGGTCCTCCGAAAAGCATGGCTCCGGGTTCGGAGGCTTTCAGCCATCAAAGCAATGGCTTACAAAATACACCGCAACCAAAGCGCAATCAAGCTGCATTCTTGTTTTTCATTTGGCATTCACCACAAATGTTTTAAGAGAACAGCCGCTCTTTGGCATTCAAGAACCGTTGGAAAAGATAAATGGTTGCGGAATTTAATCGTTTCATGCGGCTGGCTCTCTCAGAGTAGGAGACTGGTACGAACTCACGTTGCAGTCTGGTTGAATCCGGCTGTTCATCTGAGATAGAAGCTTTGCATCCATATATATATATATATATATATATATATATATATATATATGCATGTGTATATATATACATATATATACATATACATATATATATATATATATATATATGTATATATATAGCATTTATTTATTGAAAGTTACGCAACATTTACTGAAAGACTACAATTTCTTTGTTTTGCGACGGCGAAGTCGGAACATAAAAGCACCGCTATCGGCGGTAAAAGGTGAGTCACTGTGCCTCTGGAATGTTTCAAGTCTTCTGGATTTGCCGAGAAAACTGTTAAACGAAGATGCGAAGTGATGTCGACATATATATATATATATATATATATATATATATATATATATATATATATATGAATGCAAAGCTTCTATCTCAGATGAACATCCCGACTCAACCAGACTGCAACGTGAGTTCGTACCAGTCTCCTACTCTGAGAGAGCCAGCCGCATGAAACGATTAAATTCCGCAACCATTTATCTTTTCCAACGGTTCTTGAATGCCAAAGAGCGGCTGTTCTCTTAAAACATTTGTGGTGAATGCCAAATGAAAAACAAGAATGCAGCTTGATTGCGCTTTGGTTGCGGTGTATTTTGTAAGCCATTGCTTTGATGGCTGAAAGCCTCCGAACCCGGAGCCATGCTTTTCGGAGGACCGTGGAACTTCTGCAGGCGCTGCTTTGCCACTCCGAGGCTGAAGGTCCCAAACGACTTATGATTGATTAAGTTTCAGTGAAATCCTCTCCTGTTAGCTCGTAGGTACACCCCTGTTGTGCTCATTCATGCCGGGTTAGATAGTATTGGATGGAAATGTTGTTTATTCATACTGGCCTTTTTCTGAGTTGGATCCCCACAGTGCCCATGAAAGGTCCGCGCACACACGCATACACATTATGCATACCCATAAAAGGTTAGTAGCCTAAACAAAAGACAGCAGAATAATGCGCCTTTGAAGCGTCGGCTGCAGTTGTTACCGGCGCATTGGCCAATGAGAATGGCGCACGTCCTACGATGTCAGTACAGACGTTCATGCAAACCCGTATGGACCACAAAGTGTCACCGGCCGGTCACATAGCGGGCTGAGGGGAGGGGGGGGGGAGGGGGACTTCGCTGCGAAAACGACTTCCGTCCACTTGGTGAGTGAAATGGGAAACAAGTCAGAATTGTATGTCCTGCACGCAGCATTTACTGAAAGACTACAATTTCTTTGTTTTGCGACGGCCAAGTCGGAACATAAAAGCACCGCTATCGGCGGTAAAAGGTGAGTCACTGTGCCTCTGGAATGTTTCAAGTCTTCTGGATTTGCCGAGAAAACTGTTAAACGGAGATGCGAAGTGATGTCGACATATATAATATATATATATATATATATATATATATATATATATATATATATGTATATATGTATATGAAATAGGTCAGATTAGACATACACACATACATATATATATATATATATATATATATATATATATATATATATATATATATATATATATATATGTATGTATATATGCATCATCTGACATAGTTATCATTTGCCATGGCTTGGGCTCCAGCATTTTCTGCATTGCATCAGGAAGACCATGTTTCAAATTCGTTTCCTGTCGACCACATACATATTTATGTCACGAGTAGCTGACCTCAACGCTGGTAAACGCACTCGGCCCGACACCCGGCTCCAGAGGACGGTGTCGGCCTGCTCCGTTACACGTATGTGTCATCACGCCGCCGCCGTTGCGACTTGAACAGCGATCGCGTCCATCACCCGCCACTTGCCGTACGCCATCGACAGGCCGCGGCCCAACCGGCCACCGACGCGCTGACGGTTGCGGCCAGCGTCCGCTCTGCCCTCGGGGGCACCACGCCCCCTCCCCCTCCCGGACCACCAGGGCCCCTCCCTGGCTGTGCGGGCTCGGTGCGGCGCGTCCGGCCGACCCGGTGACCCGCCGCCGCCACTCCAATACGCCGCCGAACGTGGCTCCGGCGCCCGTCCCGACCGGCCGTACAGCTGACCGCGTGTGCCACTGGTCACCTCTGGTAGCTGGCCGGGTCACCTGTGCCAGTGGCGCCTCGCTCGGCCACCCGCCGCAGCGGACCGCTCCGGGGTCTTCCGCACGGCATTCTGACCAGCTGATTCAACAGTTTTCCTCGGACACTTGACTGCGGTGTCCCAGTCAGCTGTTCGGGCGCGTCAGCGAACCAGCTGGGGAGGCCGTCGTCTCAATGGATCTCAGTGGGTGGGGAGGATTCGCCGCCTCGGTCCACTGTTGAGGGAGTTGAATTCCACAGTACTCAGCTGAGCCGCTCAGCGTCGCCGGAGTGTCTGACGGCTATTCCAGAGGGTTCATCGTTTCAAGTCGCTCGACTGAATGGATGATGTACCGTGCCTCCTTTCGCTGCCAAGTTATGAGTTTTCTGATGGCCCGTTTTAGTGCCTCACACATCACGATCGGATAACTTGCTTCGGAGGGTCTATCGCCCCAGGTCGCACCGGCTTGAGAGAGCCCGTCACCTCAGGTCACACTTATTGAGAGGGGGTGGAGTGATTCCCTCCCCAGGTCATACGTGCCTGTAAGGCCACCGACTCACGTCACGCCTGTTTGAGAACCCCACCCCAAAGTCACACCTGTTTGAAATCTCCGACCCAAGGTCACGCATGTTTAAGTTCCCCGCCCCAAGATCGCGCGTGTTTAAGGTCCCCGCCCCAAAGTCACGCCTGTTTGAGATCCCCACTCCAAAATCAATGCCTGCTTGAGATCCCGCCTCAAAGTCACGCCTGTTTGGGATCCCGCATCGCGGTCACGCCTCTCTGAGATCCTCCTTCCCAAAGTCACGCCTATTTCAGATCCCTTGCCCCACATTCATGCCTGTCTGAGATCCCCCACCCCAAAATCACGTCTGTCTGAGATCCCCGCCTCACAGCCACGCTTGTTTCAGACCCCCCCCCCCCGCCCTTAAGTCACGCCTGTTTGAGATCCCACCCCCAGGTCACGCCGCTTGCGATCCCCTGATCCCCTGATCCCCTGATCCCCTTGCGGTCACACCTGTTTGAGAGGGTCCGTCGTCTCGCTCTGCATGTCGGCCTCGGCCGCCCCTCCGCCGGCCCGCACCGTTTGCAGACCACTATGGCCGGGACTGCGGACACAGAGACAGCACGGTCAGCAGCTGGCCGTTAACGGCCGGCAGCACAGCTCGCGCGCCGGCCCGCCCGTCAACCAACGCCGCGCCATCAATCGAACACAATATCAGGTGATTGATGCCTGATGTGGCTGATGCTACGCGGTAGTGATTAACAATTCACGACCGGTGTGTTGCATTTATAATGGCGGCAATCAATGAACGAGGATTTGAAGAGGCATAAGTTCATAAAATGACAGAACGTGATTGTGGGCTCGTGCTTGGAGGGTCGTCACTGGTTCCGGGACACCGGCGTCGATAACACGAACAGCATCGAGTGAAAAGAGCAACAACACCGTCAGCTGTGCGGGCGGCCCCCCGCGCGGAACCGGAACGGACGCAGCCCTGAACAAAAAGGCGCACTCCACACTGCACCGGGACCGACGCAACGAGCCGCATTCCGAGTCAAACGACACGCGCGCAGCGCGGCGGACGATAGCTGTCGTCGTGCTGTGTGGGACGCCACGCAACAGGCGCGATGGGTGTCGGACCCACGCGGGGCTGGTGAGGCTGGGGTGACCGGCGGCACTCCATCCGAGGTCCTGCACCGCTGCCCGGCGGCCCGAGGTGCCCTGCCGCTGGGAGGAGGGGGGGGGGGGCGTTCTTAACCCCCCCTCGGCGGCGGCGGCGCGAAGAATCGGACGTGGCGTTAGGCCCGGAGGGCAGGCCGGACACAGCTTGCTGTTTGGAACCAGAACACGGCGCCCTGGCGGTCTCATCCCAGCTCAGCTACAGACCTTTTCACCCCGCCATGATCGCGGAGGATCCTTTTCGTTGCCATGCAGCGTCACGGCTCGGTTGCCCCACGCCCGACTGACGTTGTCTGGACAGTTGCCAAACGACAGCTGTGTAATGCTCTGGCCAAACAGTTGGTTCCCTCTGGGCGGACGCGGGCCCAGAGCCAATGGACAACTAGCCCTCCATCACATCCCCTCGATCACAGACAGCTTACGAGGTTACCAAAAGTGCACACAAACGGGGGACAGACTTTGCAAACTTCTGGGGGAGGGCAGCATGCATGTGAGCAGTGTAGCATGTGTGCGCACGCTCGAGATAATGACAGAGTAATAGCCCAAACCACAATATCATTGTCCAACCATGCCAAAAAAAGGAACTATCGCTTTGTAGAGAGATGAGACGAGGTATCTAGTATCACGGATGGAGTAGCCCTTCGGACTATCATCACCGTCCGTACGTAATTATATATACTGTGTACACAATCATGTACCAAACGTTTCGGCCAGTTGACTGCTTGGCCGCCATCACGTGCCACTGAGTCCTGAAAATGGCTAGATGATAATTTGGCTCGCTGTCATGTCCGCATCAGAGCCCGATTTCCCTCGTTCGCGCTGCTGGGATTCGAGCTTCGTTGTTCTGATCGCGAGCCCAATGCTTTACGAACTGAGCTAGCCGGGAAGGGGCCCTGCGGTCGAAAAGCCCTTCTCTTAAAACGCCCTACAACTTTCTTGACTACAAAAACTTTCGAACCATTCCTGGTGGACTCCCGATATTATGAACAAACATGACGGAATCTGGCAAACAAATTCGGTGTCACGTCAGATGGAAAAGCTATGACGTCATTCGTGAAGGTATGTACGGCCTCCACGCTTTTAGAGATCCAGCTGACTTGTACCAGACCAAACCAAATAACTTGTGACGACCATCCTTCAGAATCGGTCAGTAAACTGACACATTGAACAAACCAACCGACGACTAGTGAACGGTCGACATGGGTTGCGACAGGACACGTAACTCTGAAACGTAGAACAATGAAATGGCCATACCTCACCTTGAACTGGGCCTGCAACTTGAACTTAACATTTTGGTATGACGCGGAACGCAGCGTCCTTCTATTCCGTGCCTGTCTGGTGCTGCAAGGCAATTTTTATTCTGGTCGCCTTCCTTAAAATCGCAAACTAATTTTGCCTCGTTTTATACTTGGTGTGACCTGCAGTAGCGGGCCACAGGCCGGGGGTCACCCATCCGTACAAGGGCGTCGCGGTCGGCAATATACCGCGGCCGACGTCGCGTGGCGTCAGGCCTGCGCGGTCCTCCCACGGAAGCCGCAAACCACCGTCGGCGGTGTTCCCTCCCGAGTCGGCCGCCTCGCGTCTGACGGGGCCTCCCCGCCCTCATCGTGCGCCGCCGCATGCTGGCGTGGCGGCCCGGCCCGCGGCGCTGACACGGCTGCAGGCGTGCACTGGGGCCGCACGAGCGGCGGCACGCGAGACGGGACGGCGAGCGCCACATGCCACCGCCCGCCCGACACCAGCCCGGTCCCGCCCGCCCGGCGACGGCCGCCGCGCACGGGAGGCGGGCCCGCTCCACGCGACCCTCCTGCGCGGCGGTCACGGCTGAGGCGCCAAGCAGAGAAACGGAGCGCATAATCTAACGGCGGACCCCTCCGACAGGCGCCGGCGCCTTTTGATCATGCATTCACGGAGGATGGCGCGACCGCCTGTGGCGGCGGGAGGGGGTCTGGGCCTGCTGGCGGCAGCGGGAGGGGCGGCCTTGGGCGAGGGGCAGGTCAGAGCGACCGTCAGATCTGAGGCGCCGCCGGGACGCCGACCGACAGGTGGCGCGTACGCCGCTGCCAGCCAGGCTGCCAGCAGTCAAGGTCCGTGGCGCCGCTCTTCCAGTCTGAACACCCGCCAAAAACGCCGCCAAGGGCCCGCCGGCCGGCCCGGGAGCCACTCGGGGCTGCTGCGCGTGCGCCCAGCACCAGCCCCAACACTAAAGCGAGCATTTCCGACATGGCAGGGAGATACCTAGCGACACGGCGATCGCTCCATGGCTTTCGCTCCTCATGCAGATACAAGGCGCGACCCGAGCGCCGCGGAGCGTTAAGGGTACGGCAGCCGGCGCCAGCACTATGAGATCACCACGTGGGCCGCGGGCCAACTGGGCGCGCGCCTCGGGCACTGACCTCCAGCGCCATCTCCGCCTTAGGATCGTGCAGGGTCCGGCGTCGCCCGTTGGCGGCCGGCGGCGACATGCGGGCATGCAGGCCTCGACAGGTCGCACCATGCACAAGCGGGACTCACAGGCGGGGTGACGCGCGCCGGCAACAGAGAAAGCCGCGCCCGGCCGGCCGGCCGGCCCGGTGTCCGGCTGCACTTACTGTCTACTTTGCTGCTCTCTACGTGGTTGGCTACAGTTCGCATTGCGTCTACGCGGCCGGGGGGATGGCGGTCGGCGGCCTGGGCACACAGAAGCTGCCGGTCAGTGAAGGCGGGGCGGGGCGGGGCGGGACGGCGGCGGCGACGCGGACCGGGGCCCGGCCGCTCCCGAGGGCGCTGGACGGCCGGGCGCCGGCCCGAGCAGCCCCCGGCGGCGGCGGCGGCGGCGCGCGGCGCGGCACAGACGCCCCAGCCGGGATACCTCCGGAGTCCGGCATTGTCTCCGGCAAGCGCCCGACGGCGACCGCGAGGCGTTCGCCGCCCGCCAGACATCCGCGCATGATAGTGCGGCCGCCGCCTCCACACGCGACAGCTTTTGGTTTTTGTAAGTTAGGATATATGTCACGTGGGCAGATCACACTTCGAAGTATTCACAGATAGCAACGAAAAGCTGCAGCGACATCCCAAGACCTTTTCGGAACACCAATATTAAATATACTTTGTCTCTTCTGCACTGTACACTAGCAGCCTGTACTATGCGTTTCACAAGCAGGGAGCGTTTCTAGTAAGCCACATCGGGATTGCTTTATGGTGGATTTACGGCGGCATGTGACACGACGGCGATGTCAATAGGCGACGGGCTCGTGAGACAGCTGCCTGCAAGCTGATGACACACAGAAACATTCCGTTTAGCCCAAGCCAACTAGGCGGTGAAGAGCTTCCGTCCAAGGCAGCGATAGACAGATGTGTGAGGTTATGCTGCAAGGCCTTAATGGCTGGTGTCGGGTTCCGGCTGTAAGCCCCGCACTGCCCACACTCGGAGCTGGTTAGACTCCTCAGACAACAGATCAAAGTGGTGGAGCAAAGTGGTAGAGCAGGGTTAGGACCGACCTCATTTGACTGTCTTTGATAACAATATCCTTCATTCCGCATGGATACTGTTATGTGTATGTGCACTGGGGCTTTACGAAGCACTCAGCTGCTGAGGCTATATGACGTCGCCTGCCTCTCACCCTGGCAGGAAGGGCGGCGGGCACCGCGGGGAATCGAACCCCGTACCTCTGGTTTCCCAGACGCGCACCATCGGCACCCCGGGTACTGTTATAAAAAGTGCCTCAAGCCCCCATTGGGAACCTGCGAAAACCAGCCGGGATTAGGCCGCAGAGGGCCGACTTGGCACGTGGAAAGAAGAGCGAGTTAGCCGGGCTCCACCACTTAAAAATGTCGATGTATTTTAGGTACGAATCGGTACTTCCAGGTTCAAGGTAACTGCACGCGTACGCACACAGATGGATCTTTCCAATGAA